TATTTATAACTAAGTTTATATTTAATATCTTTAAAAATGCCAAATATTTTATTCGAATCAAAATTAATAATAAAATTAATTAAAGATAATTGCGTAGAAATTAATGAAAAAAATGAAATTTAAGTTCAATTTCCATAGAATAATCACGTGGTTAAAAATGTTTCATTTTTATTTAAACAAAAATTCATAATGAATAAGTTAAATTCAGTTAATAAAATAATAATGAATGAACATATAGGAAAATCTTTGAAACGAGATTTCAAATTAAATTTCCATCTGTTAATATCTTATATTTCAGATTAACAATATATAAACATAAATAACGTTGAAAATAAAACATACAATTCCTATTTTTTATTTCTCGTTATTATATATAGACAAAATTAGAAAGATTAAATACAAAATATATTTTAAGTAATATTTAATTATTCATAATTAAAATTATATAATGATATTTTCCAATTGAATTATTATAAAAATGTTACATATCGATTAAATTTATTTACATATATTGATTTGACATATTGATAAAATTAATAGAAACATTTTGACAGACTTCGCATAATTGATTTATATTTTTATAATTGATCAATATACAAATATTAATTTTTTCGAAACAACAACTAATGGATTTCAATACTTTCAAGATATAAACGATCTATATAAAAAATTATATACAACATATATAATTAATATCGTATTTTTTATTTCGATCAAAAGTATGATCGAATTAATTTGAAAAAAATATCGATTACTCGTAATTCGATTATTACTCGATCCAAAATTTTTCTATCTCTTTTTCTCTCTATCTCTCTCTTTATAGAAAATATTTTTATTTATCCGTTTTCATTAATATTCATATTAATAATTATTTTTCTTTTCATATGATTGTGTTTCTTTTTCTATAAAAAATATCTCAACGAATTATATTAATTTCAAATATTTCTCTCTCTTTCTTTCTTTCATTCTTTCTTTCACTTTCTCTTTTCATTGTTTATTCTTTTTTTCGTGACGAAAAAAAAAAAAGAAAAAAAAGAAAAAAAATACTTTTCTTTCTAATCTAATCTTCCTTCTTCTTTCAAATCAATCTAAACGTTCACACATATTTTACACACACTTAACATATATTTACAATTTATCAATATATCAAAATTATTAATAAATAATTCTTGACACTATCGCATAATCACACACACACATTCAATTTCAAACATTATCTCTATATTCTATCTTTTATTATTAATTATTCTCAATCATATTCGTTGTCTCTCTTTTTATTCTCTTTTTATTATTTTATTTTTTATTTTCATTTTATTCCGATACGAAAATATCGAAATAAAAAATTAATTAAAAAAAAAAATGCGTTAATTATTTATATCATTCGTTCAATTTTTTTTATTTCATTCTACTTTTATCTTTTTCTTATTCGTTCATTTAACAACAATATTGTTAAATGTTGATTTCAATTCGTTTTTAAAAATACACGGATATACACATATCAATACATATACATATACGTGTAGTATACGTAGAAAACTCGCGCAATTACATACGTGAAATTTCACGAAGTACTGTAATTGTATCATTTTCAGGTGACCCCATGATAACATCCTCACTAAAGGGTAAGTGGATCATCGACATGATTCATTCTTTTTTTTTTTTTTTTTATTAATTTATTTCTTACTTTTTATCCCCCTTTTATTTTTTGATTTTTTATTTTTTCACATACCACCATTTTTGTTTCTTCTTGCATCCCCCCTTCAAACCCCGTACACACCCATTTAACCATTTATTTCAATTTTTATTTTTCGATTTTCTGGCTTCTTTTTTTTTGTTTGATTAAATAAATAAATAAAAAAAGAAGAACAAAGAAATATAAACAATTTTCTCTCGATTATTTTCGTGTGGTTTTTCTTTTAACCATAAATTGTGCACGACAATAATTACAGGTGGATTCGTTTGGTTTTATCTTTTTGTTTTTTGTTTTTTTTTCTTTGCCGTTATTGTTCCTTCTATTCTTTCTTTCTTTCTTCTTATTCTTTTTCATTGCATGGGGATTTATCTTGATTATTTAATTATCTTGACTTTTTCATTTTCCACGATTTATCGTTGTTTACTTTATTCACACAGAATCAGGAGGAGGGGGGGGGAGGGTTTCTAAATAAGATAATATTCCTCTTCCGTTTTTTTTTATTTTTCGTTTGAGATGTTGTTTCTTTTTTTTTTTGTTTTTTTTTTTTTGTTTTCTTTCTACTCTTTATTTCGATGCAATTAAGTTCTGACAAGAAATCTTATAAAAATAATATAAAAAAGAAGAAAAATATAATGAATATATATTTAATTATATATTATATAGATTATTATTATTATTATATAATTAGATTATAAATATCGAATCAAATAATATTTCTCGTCAGAATGAATTATTATTATTATATTATTAATTTTCGTAGAAATTAGAATTAGATAAAGAATTATGGCATTAGAATTTAGTATAGTTTGAAGTAGTTAAAAATAGTATAATATATTATTATAATATTCGTTTGCATAATTACGATAAAAAGACATTATCGATCACGTTACATGTAGCTTTTAAAAGAGTATAATGATGTTGAAAGAAATAAACTTATGTTGATAATAATCGTTAAATAATTTATCGAACCTTTTACGGAATAGATAAATGCGTTCTTTCAAGATTTTTATATTGTGACACTCGTCAAGTCTTGATTTTAAAAAACGAGAAAATAAATAAAGAAATTATCCAACATATTATTATTGAAAATAATATTAGGTGTAAAAATAAGTTTCCGCCGTTTTAATGTAAATAGCGCAGCGCGGAGTTTCCGTTAACTTTCGCAGATGATATCCTGCCTAAAAATTAGTTTGGACATTTAAGAACAATATAACCTATTAATATTATTGATTTCATATTGGTAAAATATAATTTTTTTKADTWGAAAMTKTCCAAATTTGAGCCAAATAAGCGTCATTTGCGGGAAATATTAGTTTACTTCTTTAATATAAAGAAATCTGCTGCTGAGGCGCATCGATTGCTCGTAGAAGC